TCCATTGTTTAAGCACCGGCACCGTTTCAAAAGTACCGTGTACTGGTATCTGATAAAACCTAAACGATACTCATCCCTAGTGCCCATTCAAGAGCCAAATGACACCAGAACTGTATTATCTTAAGTGTTCGATGTTGAAACCATATATTATTGAAACAGATATATTTCTTTATCATATCAGTTACATAATTAGTAGAATACGGTAGTCCGTATTTTACCTGACACTTTCTCCCCTACATTACAGAGACTAGTGGCCTCTCCCAGGTATAACCTCTCCCAGGTATAACAGGAAAACGGGGGAAAATGGCATGTGTAACTTTTATACAATTGCCATTTTTAAATAAACAAACTTAGGATGAAAATATTTCCCTTAACTTTAAAGTTGTTGAGACGTTCAGTGCGGTGAGATGAAAGGTAATCCAGAGGTTAGCAGCTCACAATCACAATCAGTAGATTTATTAGCTAAAAGTTTGACTGGAGCCAATCAAAGAAGCAAGTATCCATGAAATATTATTATTTTACTTACTAAATGTGACATATAAACAATGTTTACTCCTCTGGGCTCTACTTCATTACTGTTTCAACACCCGTCCAGAAGCAGTACCATGGTACTGTCAAGAGGTAGGTACGGTCTCTCTGGTTCAAACTATTCTGTGTGTATGTACGCAAACACTCCTGTATGATATGTTGCATTACTGAAGAAAGAAAAGAAGGAAGACTGTGGACGACACCACAAAAGGCAATAAATACACAAGGCCTTTCTGCTATTTGCACACTTTTTACTGTAAATTCCTAAGTTAATTTGTAAATTTTGTAGTAACCTGTAAATTGTAAATACTGTAAAACTTTTTTCCTGTCATTTAATGGTCAGGCATTGTACAGCTACAAGCATTTCACCCCCATGTCATACTGTGTATGGTTGTGTGTGTGTGACATATAAAATTTGAATTTAATGAGGCTTCCCTTTAAGGAACACAGGGAATACAGTGGAGGAGAAAACCCAAGAGTGCAAACACAGCAAACCCAAACAGAGAATGCCAACAAGGAGACAAACTCAAAACACTGTGAGCGATAATCCCCACAAAAATCCCCAACTCTGTGTCAAGACCTTGGGACCATGATAGTTTTGAAGCTTTTGCTAACACTGATATTTTATCTTCAGAAACATGACGACATCTCTCACAGATACCTGCTCTTCCTGTCTCATGGTTTCCACCTATGTGCACAGGAGCCAAAACCATATCGTCACTAGAAAACCTTCTTTTGACTATAGTTATCTGTTTCTTACTAAACTAATTTTGATACGTGATCCAGGCCATCTTGCTTTTTTGTGTGCGGTTTGATCTTTAGCATTATTCTGCTATTTAGCCAAATTAAACGCTGCTTTTATTTGTTCAAGCTACACAAACTGTGCGCACGTCTGTTGTAAAATGGTATGGTATGTTTACATTTAGGTTCTTCCATTTCTCTGATCCAGCTGAGGTACTATATATCAGGGGAAAGTTGGACATGGATGACTTGTATAAAGAATACCATGTAACGGATCCACACTTGCAGGAAACTGTGGCTAGAAGAATCTGGGCAACCTTTCTTCAAGGCAGAAAGACACCAAATATGGCTGCTGTTGGATGTTTTCGCTTCTGAAATTCCTGTTACA